GTTGATCTTATCTCTTGTGTGATCACCTGTCTATGTTGATCTTATTCTTGTGTAATCATATGTCTATGTTGATCTTATCTCTTGTGTGATCACCTGTCTATGTTGATCTTATCTCTTGTGTGGTCACCTGTATATGGTACCATACATGTTTCGTGATCACCTGTCAATGTTCATCTTATCTCTTGTGTGATCACCTGTCTATGATAACCATACAACTTGTGTGATCACCTGTCTGTGTTGATCTTATATCTTGTGTGATCACCTGTCTATAATTACCATACATCTTGTATGATTGCCTGTATATGATAACCAGACATCTTGGTGATCACCTATCTATGATAACCATACATCTTGTGTGGTCACCTGTCTATGTTGATCGTATATCTTGTGTGATCACCTGTCTATGTTGATCTTATCTCTTGTGTGATCACCTGTATATGAAAACCATACATCTTGTGTGGTCACCTGTCTATAATAACCATACGTCTTGGGTGATCACCTGTATATAATAGCCATACATCATGTGTGATCACCTGTCTATGTTGATCGTATATCTTGTGTGATCACTTGTCTATGTTCATCTTATCTCTTGTGTGATCGCCTGTCTATGATATCCATAAATCTTGTGTGATCACCTGTCTATGTTGATCGTATATCTTGTGTGATCACCTGTCTATGATTACCATACATATTGTTGTGATCACCTGTATATGAAAACCATACATCTTGTGTGGTCACCTGTCTATAATAACCATACATCTTGTGTGATCACCTGTATATAATAGCCATACATCTTGTGTGATCACCTGTCTATGTTGATCTTATCCTTGTGTATTCACATGTCTACATTGATCGTATATCTTGTGTGATCACCTGTCTATGTTGATCTTATCTCTTGTGTGATCGCCTGTCTATGATATCCATNAGTGTGATCACCTGTCTATGTTANTTATACTACATTATATATCCACTACAATATATGACTTCACTAGATTGTTATGCTACATGTATTTGGCACATTAGTTATTATTTGTAAGATATCAGAAATTCGTTAATTGATTAAACTAGTATCCTTTTTCTGTTTGGCTACAGATGAAGAGACGTTAATTGATAACTCTAAAATATGCCTAAATAGAACACAATACACAAATATATCCCCGTTCAATATCACTTATATTTCACGTACATGGCTAGATAAACCGATATTTTAACTCGAGCTGCGAGCTCATGGAATATATTGGTTTTCTGCCATACTCATAATATATATTGCTATTCATCTAAAAACAATGAAATGTCTTCAATGACTTTTTGTTCTTACAATAACACATTACTTTTACATCAATAACAGCTATGAGTCATAGACAGCGATATACCTTGGTGATGCATGCATATATTCCTTAAAAATATAGACGGTTAAAGCAAAATCCGTTGGTACGTTTACCTAAAACAAATTTGGACGTCTGGATGGCACACCGGTAAACATGTATTACTTGGTTTTGTACATGGACAGGCAGGTATGTAAAGGGTCCGCAGTGTTATCCTTAGGATGAAATCTGCAAAGGCCTTCAAATACAAGAAAAGATTAGCATAAGGATGTTGATTGAGTAAATGAATCGTAACTCTCTCAACAAAAGCTATGATTTATCAAACGTTTCGTTAACTTTTGACGTACAGTCGTACAATGATCATATACGGGTATTTTGAAGAAAGAGTTTTGTACCAGAGGACATGTAATCTACCCAAGATACATTTTACAAAAGTGATATTATCTCATAATCTCCATACCCAACGTGCAATGATAAAAACGCATGTTTAACTTGTCTGAGATAGTTGGTGACAATCTCACGTTCATGTATGAATTTTCTACCCTAACACGCTAAAAAGTAACCTATATGATTACTTATTTCATGTTGGCACTATGACGTGTACCACAGGTCATACAAAATTAATGATTGTTTTCGTCAGTCATGTTGTCTTTTTTTATTGGGATTAATAATAATTATAATAATACGCCTTCAAGTATGATTACTCAGTTTGGTATATCGTCATAAGGAATGGACTTCAGACTTAAGGCATACGTCCACTCCCTTTGTGCATATGGAGATATAGTTGGGAGCAAACTTAACTTTGTATCTAGTGCACTTTAAGGTACATATGTACTGAAAAAATTAGTGCACTAAACAAATCATTGTAATGCACTCCAGGGTACTACAATATAAACTGTAGTCTACTACGATGTTAACTCCAGCCTACGACAGTGTTTACCCATGTTAAATAGAATGAAGTACACATTTCAAGTATCTAAAAATAATGAATGGTTTTTTTTCATGGTATGAAATTTAAAAGAATCAGGAAAAATAGATGTCTACCATGTGTTTTAATGATACATATTTTATTTAGCCCAGAATTGTACTATTTCTAGCTGTTGTAAGTTTGCACAATAAAATACGAACGTATATAGATATTTGATGAAAATATTACATAAGCACTTGAATATTGTCAAAGATTAATAGGTGAGACATTAATTGGCTAATTTCTACCAATAACAAAACCTTTAGACATTGTCTAAAGTTCTGCTACTAATTATGAACCTAGTAAAACTTTACAATCTGTATTTAAGCGGTTGATTTATCAGGAAAGGATGCCCCATTGACAATTTTTAAACCGTATATTAATTATTACCAAAAAAATTTGTTGTGAAATAATTAAGTGTATATATTTTGTATTATGTTTTAAATTATATTTCCAAATTCAAAATCATTACATCTCCTCTTTCTTAACCTCCCGATTAAATAAATTGTGCTCAACGGATTCGTCGAAAAAAATATATGCAAAAACACAAAACAAAAGATGATTTTTTAACCCACAATTTGGACCCCGCAAACACTAACTTTGTTCTTAAAACCTACTTAAATTCTATATCACCAACTCGGTAATATAAATACTCACGTTTTAGCATAGGTCGTTCAGATGGACTTTTTACAATAAACATGTGCGGAGTACAAATATAGACTACAAGAAAAGCTAGCTTATAAGGACAAATTATACCACAGTGTCATCACACAAGGACAAAATATACCACAGCGTCATTACAGAAGTACAAACTATATCAGTGTCATCACACAGGGACAAAATGTACCACAGTGTCATCACACAAAGACAAAATATACCAGTGCCATCATATAAGGACAAGTTAAACCTGTGTAATCATATAAAGACGGAATTTACAACACTGTTATAAAAAAGGACAAACTTTACCTTAGTGTCAACATACTAGAGAAAATTGGATCTATCAAGGTCGATGCAAAATTGAAACATCGATTGAACCAAAATTGGAAGAACAAATATCGTGTACACCTCGCTTTGTTAAATTTACAGAAAAGCATTTTTTGATGCTGTGTGGTTGTTATATTTAATGTGTTTTTCAAAAGTTATGGTTTATGCATTAGAAACTATATTACTTATAATTAAAACTAAAACAACATAGATGTTAAACATGTTACTCAATTCTCACTAAAATTTGAAAAAAAAATGTTTGCATTCTTATCAATTATTAACGGAATCGAGATAAAAAAGCATAACAATGTTCAAATAGAAATTCCATGATGCAATAAAAACATATATTGCTCTATCTAATTATGATATTTGCGGGATATTTTTGTGTGTACTTCATTTATTCAATCGTAGGTTTATTGAATATGAAATGACCATATCTGAACCCGTTAGATATCAATATTGCTTGTCTAATATAAAATTAAGTACAACAAGTTACATACATGTGTATTAGTGTTGAACGTTCATCCCTATGTATCCACGTCAGATACTTCAACTTACCGTGTTGACAAGGAGATTTATAGGTAAACAAACTGATATTGTCTGGGTCATTTTTTCATTTCAAATATATTTCATTGATTAAACAAAAGGATTGAGCAACAGGCTTTGCCTATAAAAAGCTCTCTCCATGGCTTCCAGCATACTTTTGATATTTGAAGACATTGAATACAACATTTACATACATACATTTTATTTCAACTCATCTCATGACACTTGGATACATTTATTGCTAGGTAATATACATTTAATTAGGCTGGCTTAATATTTTCATGTTTCTACAGAAAAAAATAAAAATAAAAAAATACAAACTTTGCGATATTAATATTTAATATAGTTGTAAAACTTGTGTCAAGAAGAATTAAATATACAGTTATGAATATACACAGTATTCAAATCAAATTAAATATATGGATATACGTCTTGATCTTGAGCAACTAAAATTTTCTACGGCAACATAAAATAAAGCAAAACTGATACATGCATGTTTGCTGATAAAGAAATGTACCAGGAATTATTTGAAGTAGACATGTCTTGAGATGAGTTGGAAAATCAAATAGAAAATTAATTAAAGAAAACAGAAAAATAAAAAATATATATAAAAAAAATAAAAAAAAAATATGAAAACACAAAAAGAAGACATAAATAATTATATAAGAATACAAAATAATCTCAATCACTCACTCATGCACTCATAAACTCTAACATCACATTTGTATCTACAGGCATGGGTTTGTTGGTTTATTTAATGTAGTTTATATTTGTTTTAAATGAATGTGCAGTTGGGCATTAAATATGATAACAAAGTACACTAGTTCACAGGATACAAATATGTGGCATTTTGGTATTTCATAATAAATTATTAGTTTTTCAATAATTAAATAAATTATAACTATTGATTTACATTACTCCATCATACCTTAAGTGTCATGACCACATGAAGTCCCTGGACATTTGTTGCCCTGTGATCAATCAACCTTGGTATATTATATGTAAATATATATATTCATTATCCACTATCAACAGAAATAATGAATTTATCTTACAGATTACAACGAATACACCAACCTCATACAGCTTGTATATTTATCTATTTAAACCGTCCTGTAGCATTAATGTATTTATGCACACACTCCATCAATTGATTGTTCTGTAAATCACTATTACTAGTGTTTCCATTTAGAATAGTACTTAAAGGTATTGTATTATGGAAATCTTCATCATTTAATATAAGATCCTGCATAAAAGTTTGTCGTTATTCTGTATAGAGAGTATTGTCTGGGTCATCTTTGTTTTGGCCCAGTCCACTTGAGACACGTCTGTAATAATATTATTCGCTCTATCGGTTGATAACCACCCCACTTTCGAACACCACCATAACTACGTTAGTTCAACACCGGTCAAATCGACTGTTTAAAACGACTTTTTTTACCCTATTGTTGAATACCTATCACTGATGTGTTGATAGGTTATCTGTCCTTCATGCCGGATCTATTGTCACTTTCACCGTCATGTAAGGTATCAACCATTGATTCAACCCCGGGTTGAATGTAGATTCGTCACATATATGTTTTTGTGTCTTTGTGTATTTCTCTACATTTAGTTCGAATGTGTACTTGTTTGCTTACGCTAAATTATTATTATCATTTTACGACTTTAGTAATATCATTATAGAGATCTTTCCTAATTACCATATAATAATCCATCTCTATGTAAGCGCTGTTACCGAAAGAATAAATATGTATGTGCGCATTCCACTGAATCGTTTCTTCTACCCTATTCAAGATCATTTAGCTTCAGTGGAGATATCCTTTATTCTTGCTGTACCTCTGTGTATAGCACGAATTAACAGCGTATTCTAGCGATCAAGAGTACCTCCCAAAATTCCAAAAATAATTTAGATCATGTTATCCTTCACTATATAACAGTCTAATTTGATAAACTGATCTACCATTTCATGTACATGTTTAATGAACATGTATGTTTTCATCATAATGAGCTTTTCTGCGAAGGGGGAGACGGGGAAGGGGGAATCTCCACCTACCTGAGGAGAAGTCGTAGCCGAACTTTCATTACAGCCTGAACCTTTAAACGGGGGATCACAACGTAGATAACCGTTAGTGTTGCAGTGTCCATGGGATGGCGGAGTGATACAGTGCTTGTCACAATTAAGTCCGTAATAAGATAGATTACACCTCAGTGTCCCGTTAATATCACAATGTCCATGGGAAGGCGGATCAACACAATGGTTTCCACAATGTATTCCGTAGTAAGATGGATCACACCTCAATGTTCCGTTAGTATCACAGTGTCCATGGGAAGGCGGAGTGATACAGTGCTTGTCACAATGTATTCCGTAGTAAGATGGATCACACCTCAATGTCCCGTTAGTATCACAGTGTCCATGGGATGGCGGAGTGATACAGTGCTTGTCACAATGTATTCCGTAGTAAGATGGATCACACCTCAATGTCCCGTTAGTATCACAGTGTCCATGGGATGGCGGAGTGATACAGTGCTTGTCACAATGTATTCCATAGTAAGATGGATCACACCTCAATGTCCCGTTAGTATCACAATGTCCATGGGATGGCGGATTAATACAATGGTTTTCACAATGTATTCCGTAGTAAGATGAATCACACCTCAATGTCCCGTTGATATCACAATGTCCATTTGATGGCGGAATGATACAGTGCTTGTCACAATGTATTCCATAGTAAGATGGATCACACCTCAATGTCCCGTTAGTATCACAGTGTCCATGGGATAGCGGAGTGATACAGTGCTTGTCATAATGTATTCCGTAGTAGGTTGAATCACACTTCAATGTCCCGTTAGTATCACAGTGTCCATGGGAAGGCGGAGTGATACAGTGCTTGTCACAATGTATTCCGTAGTAAGATGGATCACACCTCAATGTTCCGTTAGTATCACAGTGTCCATGGGAAGGCGGAGTGATACAGTGCTTGTCACAATGTATTCCGTAGTAGGTTGAATCACACTTCAATGTCCCGTTAGTATCACAGTGTCCATGGGATAGCGGAGTGATACAGTGCTTGTCATAATGTATTCCGTAGTAGGTTGAATCACACTTCAATGTCCCGTTAGTATCACAGTGTCCATGGGATAGCGGAGTGATACAGTGCTTGTCATAATGTATTCCGTAGTAGGTTGAATCACACTTCAATGTCCCGTTAGTATCACAGTGTCCATGGGAAGGCGGAGTGATACAGTGCTTGTCACAATGTATTCCGTAGTAGGTTGAATCACACTTCATTGTCCCGTTAGTATCACAGTGTCGATGGGATGGCGGATCAACACAATGGTTTCCACAATGTATTCCATAGTAAGATAGATCACACCTCAATGTCCCGTTAGTATCACAGTGTCCATGGGATGGCGGATTAATACAATGGTTTCCACAATGTATTCCGTAGTAAGATGGATCACACCTCAATGTTCCGTTAGTATCACAGTGTCCATGGGAAGGCGGAGAAGTACAGTGCTTGTCACAATGTATTCCGTAGTAAGATGGATCACACCTCAATGTCCCGTTAGTATCACAGTGTCCATGGGATGGCGGAGTGATACAGTGTTTGTCACAATGTATTCGATAGTAAGATGAATCACACCTCAATGTCCCGTTAGTATCACAGTGTCCATTGGATGGCGGATTTATACAATGGTTTTCACAATGTATTCCGTAGTAGGTTGAATCACACTTCATTGTCCCGTTAGTATCACAGTGACCATGGGATGGCGGATTAATACAATGTGTTCCACAATGTATTCCGTAGGAAGATGGATCACACCTCAATGTCCCGTTAGTATCACAGTGTCCATTGGATGGCGGATTTATACAATGGTTTCCACAATGTATTCCGTAGTAAGATGGATCACACCTCAATGTCCCGTTAGTATCACAGTGTCCATGGGAAAGCGGATCAACACAATGGTTTCCACAATGTATTCCATAGTAAGATGGATCACACCTCAATGTCCCGTTAGTATCACAGTGTCCATGGGAAGGCGGATCAACACAATGCTTTCCACAATGTATTCCATAGTAAGATGGATCACACCTCAATGTCCCGTTAGTATCACAGTGTCCATGGGATGGCGGAGTGATACAGTGCTTGTCACAATGTATTCCGTAATAAGATGGATCACACCTCAATGTCCCGTTAGTATCACAGTGTCCATGGGATGGCGGATTAATACAATGGTTTCCACAATGAATTCCGTAGTAAGATGAATCACACCTCAATGTCCCGTTAGTATCACAGTGTCCATGGGAAGGCGGATCAATACAATGGTTTCCACAATGTATTCCGTAGTAAGATGGATCACATGTCAATGTTCCGTTAGTATCACAGTGTCCATGGGAAGGCGGAGTGATACAGTGCTTGTCACAATGTATTCCGTAGTAAGATGAATCACACCTCAATGTTCCGTTAGTATCACAGTGTCCATGAGATGGTGGAGTGATACAGTGTTTGTCACAATGTATTCCGTAGTAAGATGGATCACACCTCAATGTCCCGTTGATATCACAATGTCCATGGGAAGGCGGAGTGATACAGTGCTTGTCACAATGTATTCCATAGTAAGATGGATCACACCTCAATGTCCCGTTAGTATCACAGTGTCCACGGGAAGGCGGAGTGATACAATGTCTGTCACATTGTCGTCCATAGTATAAGGAATTACAAATTAACCTACCGCTGCTATCACAGTGCCCATTACGTGTTGGTTCACATTTCTTATCACAGTTTGGACCGTAGAAATGCGGTAAACACACAAGGTTTCCGTTAGAGTCACACTCTCTGTTATTAGCGGGGTCAGGACTACATAGTTGTTTTTGATATATTTTGAAGGTTACATGGAGGCTGAAAAAAAGCAACTACCAATTACATAATATTTTGCATTCTTTGCAGATATTGATGTATTTTAGCATTCATCTGAAAACATGATACCTGATAGTCAGATACTATATGTGTTACTTTGAGGTACACAGTTCCATGTTATCAAACGTGTTTCTTCATCATTCGATTTAAGCAATGATACCATATCCATATATGAAAATTGTACAGGGTTCAATTATACTATTACAATCTGTAATCAAATGCCGACCATTGGTTGTCGTAATCATTTTTCTAAAAATAACTAGAACATGAAAAATATACGGTGCTGATGTATTTATCACAATCAGTGAGTTTTTTTTCTTTCTGGTTGCCCTTTACCTCTTGTAATACTCACATTGCGTGTGATTTACGGTCCTGAGCTGACCTTTTCTCGTGCACTCTGGCGGTTTGTATACTTGTATCGACTTTACTTAGATAAGGAAACACATCGAATACACCAATGATTCGTGTATATCCGGCGTCTTCGAATGCTTTGACAGTAAATCCCGAAAGCATCTGAAATAAAACAATTGAAATATTAAATTATGTAATATATAGCGATAATACATGCTTCCCAATTTCTATAATATAAGAAAGGAACATTTTGTTCCTGCTCCTTGTTTTTTTTTTATTTTCTCATAGAGTTAGATCAGGTTCGTTGATGTCTAAAACTATATAATCATTTTACCAAAATACTATTTCATACTTCCAGAAACATTCCCCTGTTGAACACGAAGTAGATCACCGCCATAATGGCACATTAACAACCAAGTCGCTCACTCTCTGTAGTAGAGCATATAGTTTTTTCAACGGATATATATATTTACAATATGATAAATAAACATGTTCTTGCAAAGAAAAATACCGAATAAAAGAATAAATATCCAAGACCCATCGCTAGGCCTCTCTGCCTTCTTGGGCGGACTGAAGAAGCACAAGAATGCAAAACGCCCTAGCGGTCGGTTTTTGATACTTATTATTTTATCATATAGATATCTAATGAACAGCTATACCGCAAGCATCCAATTTTCATACGGAAGAGAGCAAAAACAAGTTCGTTAAGTGTCCTTCAATATTTGTTTTTGTGTTTTGAACGATTCATTTCAATCACAAGGTTGGCTTCACATGGTAATGGCCATTCCAAAAAAATACTTCATATCACACCAATACAGCCCCTATAACACAGGAAGTCGACCGTCGCCATATTTTCGTTTAACTTTAAAGTCGCTAATTCTCTGCAAAAGGATATATAAAGTGTCGAAAGGAAAAGTTTCCAAAATGATATATGAACAACCTTAAGATTTCAAAATCCATTAACATTTGTAGAGACGCTTGTCACAATGAAGGTTAACCATAGTGAAAAACCCTTAATTAAATGTTCAGATAACAAATCCATGATTGGTCGATTTCTCGTCTTTATAAGGTATGGTTGTAACAAAAGGAGGGAATAACAGCGTTTCAAACATTAGAATCACTCATTACCTTATTATTTCAGCGTATATTCACGTACCATTACCAAATTCATTGCCTTTTATTGAAACTTTTGTAATATTGAAGCTTTATACCAGGTAACACCTGTGATAGATTTCACAATACTGACGAAATGGTATGATCAGAGTATTGAAAATCAGTAAGAGATTTCTTGAAAAGAACAACTACAAGCTTCTCAGAAAACAAGCGTATTAGGAAGCCATGCTCATTTACTTGATCAAACATCCGTACCGTCCAATTTTGAACTTGAAAGAGAATCGGGTTCGACAAATTGCCAATCGTTGGGGTGAATTGGATATTTCGTTGTTTCTGGATAAGGGTACTGGTGTGAGTCTGCTGACATTGGTCATGTCTTCTCGGTCTAAAATTGATTGAAAGCAAATATTTAAAATCAATAGCCAATCCAAATATCGTTATTTATGAAAATGAAAAGAGGTAAAAAGAGGTAAAGCATTGACTGCTGACGTAATGTACCACTGTAAAATTAACATATACAAGGGAAATAGAAGAGTTGAATCATTTACAGGCTCAGACAAATTTTGCCAAACTTGATCATCTTGAAATTCAAATCTTCAAACATTCTATGTATACAAGTATCGAAACGTGACTAGCTTTTGTTAATTTGAAAAAAAAATGGAACATTTTTGTTATCAATATGAACGTCGATGCTAGAAAGGGCTAGACAAACGGCAGACATATACTGCATTTACAGGAAAAACTGCAAAATGAAAAATCGGACAATAATGATAGCATTTATATTCAGTAAAAATATATAGCTCTACCTTTTTCTGTAAAATCATAACACAATTCGTTTGCAATTTTGCATTTTTTATTTATTGAGTACTGCATTGTTCAGTGAGAATATTAGGTCGTTTTGATGCTGATCATGGTAGGTAGTGACGGATGAGAATGCCTAGAGTGCAGGCAGGAATTCGACTACAAACGATCTCAGTACGTCTTCCGAGGCATGTCATGAATGTTACTTTTTCCCTTTTTCGTTTGTGTTTCCTACATATATAATAAAATTGCGATATCGTCAAATTGTGTACGACAAAGTGTATGACACTTGATTAAACACACAATAAAGTGTAAGAAAGCTGCCGTGGTAATGAGTTTGTTAGAATGCTGGAATCTGCTTCATTTTCTGCTCCTTTACAAAATAACAAACAGGTGAGAAAAGGTCATTTCTTATCAATGGTAAATAAATTAATATAAGTAATACATGTATATCAGTTAAAAGCAGTCAAGACAAGAGTACATTACTCTTAATGATTTTTTGGGGGGTTTTAGCGTTATATGTCCAAGCTCTTTTTCAAGATGAAATTATCATTTTTAATGGGTTTTTTTTATACAATATGAGCAAAGTTCTCTATTCACAGAAGTGCGAACACATACGTTCTAAACGTAGATAAATGAACAAAATTAAGGGGAAAAGGTCATAATGTGTGTTGTGAAAACTATTTTCAAAACAAAATTATATGAAATTTAGTCAATATATACAATACATTTCTGTCCTTTGATCAAAGGATGTCGAAATTCAGTTGCGCTTCGGCTGTATTGACAAAATGCATGTTTCCCTGCTTTTCACTGAAACAACATATAACAATCAATCAAATTTCACGAAAAAAAACCGAACAGTGCATGCTTTCCGGGATAAAACTACCACATGAAAAAAGTCAAGGACGGACAACTGCGAACAGACGACAACAAGTATTTATGCAACATAGCATCTCAGTATCGATTTAATAACTTACCTGTAACAAACCTGCAGAACCGCATTACACGGATCAACACATCGTTGATTTACTCTCGCAGCGTTGTTACAACACAGAACGTTGTTGTTGTTTGTGTAAACTTCACTGTTTTGGTTGTACAGATATACTAGGTTTACAGACAGTATGGTTGCAGCATTCACCTAAACAAAAGAGTTGTCGCAAAAAAATAAAAATATAAACAAATCAATAGAGTAGTTGTATGCATAAAGTTATGAATGTCTCTTTCATATATAATTTATGTTAATAAGTAATGGTTCACATGAATATGATTGTTTTAATTTGAGACACTGAATTCAATGAAATGATCATCTGTAAAAATATGACATGCGACACTTGCTTATATCAGGGGGGGGGGGGTTCTGTTCAGTAGATGTATGTCAAATTAAATATTGAAATCAAACACTCTACAACATCTTAAAGTATACAAGTTTTTGGTTACGTTTCGTCTGCTGGATAACCGAACTGCTATTTAGCGAAGCAGACGTAAAACCACTCAAACAAACAAACAGACAAAATCTCTGGTTTCTGTTGGGGTTTGCAATGTCTCTTCACTGCGACTCGGCAAGAGAATTGTCTTCTTAAGATCATTCGGTAGAGCGTCAGACAAGAAGACTATAGGTCCTAGTTTCAACCTATAGCGCGATATTTTAAACAAAATAACCTCTCTTACACATGTATATATAATATTGGTTATTCAAAAATATAGAGACTCGGAATAAAAATAGCATTGACTGGATATCGTTAGGGTTAAAACTGGTACAAAGTATACAAATGTATTAGAATATCACGTGGAAAGATTAACAATAAAGTTAATATATATGTGTCATAACTGCTATTAACTTATGATTTTATAATTGTGTGAAATATTATAGTACAACCTTACGTTACAGTTGGCAATGACACGTACTCCTGCATTGTTTATGTGGTTTGTTTTCTGTTGTATTTTCTAAATAATGCGTTTTGTAGAGTGAACAACTTTTTATTTTCATTATAAAATCCATCGGATTAACAAAATATGATACTTGCGATAAATCACAATAATCATTCATTATCGTGTGTTTGTACTAAATTCATTCTATTCTCTCCCAAAACAAGATTGTACTCGAGAATTAACTATACTAAATGCAAATTTTATTTTGCTGGTGATACGTTCAATTACAATACAGCCTTACGACTTTGCTTGCAATTGTATGCAAACGGAGGTCCGAGCAGATTGAAAACAATAAACATGATCAATAAAAGATTGCCACTTAGAGAAAGTTAGAAGATATGTAACGGTTCCCTACGGGTATATGACGGTCGACAGGATATATGTGATAATATAAAAACTAAAAATATTAACTTACTCCATTTCAGATTTTCATTAGTGCACACTTTACACAAAGCAAAGTATACTTCTATCCTTAATTAATTCGCATTTTAATCATAACCGTCATAAGACACTCGTCGTCTGCATCCCATTTCAGGAATGAGTTACAGTTTATGGAGTGAAATAGAAAAGAAAATCTATTCTCTTCACAACAGCAGTACTGTAGCTATTGGAATTACAATTTTACACTTTACATTGTGTTATTGGATCTGGAAAAAGAAACCAAATGTTCAACACCACGTTATTTACACACTTACCGTTGTAATCATTAGGATAATGTAGACGACAGTTAATGTACCCATCGCGGTGATGGTAAGTGTTGATGTGCAAGCGTATTATATGATAGTTTAATTATTGGTGAACGTTTATCTGATAATTTGTTAACTTATCTTTCTAACACTGTTATTATATAAATATTGGGTCAAAAGGCTAAACCAATAGTAAAATCCCATTATACGCTGTACCCTTATGAATTGTTGTTAATATGATACGCACTACTGAAAACGGGCTATCGGGCAAGGAAGCAATTCAAACAGATTATACAATAAAAGATTGTCAAGGTTTCATAGCAAACAGCTCCTTTATCAAGACACAAACAGGAAAACACATGTTGATTCATATTAGCTTTACAAAACTACATTGTATATCGAGGGCTATATCACGGCGGAGGTGAACAAAGTACGCCCTGTGCTATGTCCTTTGTAGTGTATAAATGCGCAGTGATGAGGTAATTCTCCGCATCCACGTTTTAAGAATAGGGGTTTTGTACTTAGTTTCCATTAAAACAAGGTTTTTTATTGTTCTCTTCTTCAATTGTGAAGTAAGGTAGCCAAACCTGACATGAATTATAATATACAATGATACGTTCGGTAGCTTTTCCATATTTTCATTTAATACATTCTGATTTCAAACTGTCCAAATGACAATGAGTGTACAGTTATACATTGGATAAAAGTAATTAAAAAAAATCGAGATTAAGGCACAATGTTATTAAAACATGCTAATCAAACCAGTTTTAATAGACAGAATGGTGGATATATTCCTCCCGGAAGTATGATAGGTTATGATACAAAGGACCAGAGATATCCATATAATCATATTCAGCAAAGCAACAGTAGATACAATAATTGTCGATTATAAATACAAAGAAAATTATGATTCAATCGTACAGTATCCTTCGGAACTAACAAAACTGTTCCATTACACTCATTATATACCCTACTATCGACACAGGGATCAAGTATAGTTTATGCAGCAGAACTAGAGTCATCACATTACTTTTAAATTATCTTCCCTATACAGTTGCTGCAATAAGCAAAGAACGCTAGATGGTCCCCACACTATTACAAGAAAACGAAACTATGAACGTCCCTGCTCACTTACCGTGGTAACTAGTATGAGGTGGGAGAAGATGGCCAAGGTCCCCATCCTGATGATGGTCAGAATTAATGTCGTAGTACATTATACGTGAGTTACATATCTGGTCAAAGTGTAACAGATTGTGTAATATTTTTTCCATACAGATTTGATCTGGTTAAAGGTACGGAAAGACACCCGCTAGGATATTAATTTATCTTTCCATATATAAACAACATTGATAAAATCTAACACAACGATTATCATTTGAAGATCTGGACTTTAAATATTGCATTATATCATTTAATCAGCTGAATGAACTTGTGGTAAAATTGTTACTTGAACAGTTATCATTTAGAGCAATCAAGTCGATCATTCATATGGTTTTGTGTTTAACAAATATTCTTCGGATATTCAGAAAAAAAACATTTTAGTTTTATGCTGTTAAAATTGTAAATGTAAAAACTCGAGTAAAAAAGCATTTAAACCTACAGATATTTAAAACAAAAATACGTATACAATCTGCCTTTGATATTATTCAACATGAACAATCATTAAAAACATTGCCTAATTTCATAAAGAGAGATATTTAGACATCTATCGGATTGCATCTTGTCTCTTGTCTCAAGGCTGTCTCAGTATGCTTATATCTAAGAGACAACATCTTATTTGGTGGACTACTATCTATATTACCTGTTTGATGGACTACTGTCTATATTACCTGTTTGGTGGAATACTGTCTATATTACCTGTTTGGTGGACTAAAGTATATATCACTTGTGTTAAGGACTACTGCCTATATCACTTGTCTTATTGACTACTGTCTATATCACTTGTCTAATGGACAACTGTCTATATAGCTTGTCTTATTGACTACTGTCTATATCACTTGTCTTATTGACTACTGTCTATATCACTTGTCTTATTGACTATTGTATATATCACTTGTCTTATTGACTACTGTCTATATCACTTGGCTTGTGGACTATAGTCTGTATCATTTGTTGAATGGCTACTATCTATATCACTTGTCTTATGGACTACTGTCTATATCACTTGTCTTATTGACTACTGTCTATATCACTTGTCTTATGGACTCCTGTCTATATAACCTGTCCTATGGATTACTGACTATTGGCAATAATGTATCCATAAGTAACCTAATTTTTTAAAGATTTTTTTTCTGATTGTTGCTTCGTATGATGGCTAAAACTTTGCTTATAAATGACTTAATGAATTTAATATTGGGTTAAAATAACAAATTAGAACACCGACGTGTCAACAAATCCATATCAAAACTCAAAATAATAAAATATAAACAAGGGAATGATTCCCATGGATACCCTTAAAAACTAAGAAAATAAAGATATGAAATGTCTTCCTTATTTCACTTTTCTAAACAATTTTCCCCAACTTTTTTTTTTTTTTTCTTGACAAAATTGTTTTTCTACCATCCCAGATTTGTCTATATGTTTTTGTTGATACCGATGTCTCTTATCAGCTAATTAGCTTTGCCTTTTCCTTAATTCATTCTTAACCACTGCGCATGTTACATATTACAGAATAATTACTTGCATGCATGCATCTGAAACATGAAGAACAGGAAACAAAGAGAAGAAAATATCAGCAAATCTATAGTGTTCATTTCTCATTTTTTATAATAAATGGTGTGTATCATTGATACAGTGTATAAACGTGTATCATGTCGCCTAACCACTTAACATAGTATATGATAGCACAAACATCAGATATTTTTTTGCTTGTGCGCGCATGCATCTGCGAGCCTCTGGCTATCACAGCAGTAGATAACAGTGATATTTGTCTATTTGAAGCGTCACGTTTACCACTCCTATCTATATAAAGAGGTATACTCTTTGAAAGTCTCCAAGCTTTGGCATAAAATGCACTACTAATTATAAGTGAAAGATTAAAAAGTAACATTAAGTGTTTACAAACAGTATCCGTAGTGTAACGGAGCATTTGATGGCTAATACCGTCACTTTCTGGAGTTTTTCCAAGTTTCAATATACGTAAAAGATCTTTATAGTATGCAGACGACTCTCTGTCCTGAACAATAGGATTTTCTACATTATCATCAGCTACATTAGTAACAGAACAGAAGTAGGTATTTAGAACATTAGATTTTTCAACATCCTCAATTATATTATTTCCTTCTGTAGGATGTACGATAGCCAGAATGTCTTGAGATGTTCCAGCCGATTTCATCAGACGTTTGGTTAACTTCCAATCAGATCTTGGATCAGTAGACGATCATTGATTATTGATACCGTCAACATTTTTATAGAAGTTCAGACGAGTATACTTCTTCATATTATTGACCCTATTATTGACCCTATTGCGTATCGTTTTTAAATTTAAGAATATCGACAGGCCTGCGAGATAACCTAGCTTTTTTATGTAACCTGATTCTAATATCAATATTTCTCCTTTGTTTATAAACAGTCCAGGCTTACCATCTGGTCTAACTGTTACTTTTTTGCTTGGTATACATGTACTGGCAAAATTAAGAAACGTTTCAGTAAAACCATCACAAGCTTCATCTACTGCATCTATATGACAATTAACCTTACCAGTCATTATATGATATCAAATCATTAAAAATGATAAAATCTGTATGTTTATTTATCCATATTTTGCGTTTATACACAGGTTTCGTATTAGAGGGTATGTCAATAGACGCCAGACTACCATCGTGATCACTTAAAGTTCTGTCGACAGTTAAAACTTGGCCTCGGTGCAAGTGATTGGGACTGTTAATACAATCTGATCAAGTAGACAAGAGCTAGTATTCCGTCTTTGCGTATTGCAGAGTTATCTTCTCTTGGGAGCAGGTATTGATTGTTACGTCACTTGTTTGTGAGAGTAACGTCATCAATTTTTGAGAAAACGACGTAATTTTCTCACACAAACCAATGACGTAACAATCAATACCTGCCCCCAAGAGAAGATAACTCTGCAATACGCAAAGACGGAATTACAAACCCCAGTTGGTTCTTGTATTACATTTCGAACTCCATGGGTTAATAGTAACTCTGACAAAATGTGTCTGGGTTGACTAGTTAACATGTCTTTATTTAAATCACCATTCATAATCAAGTTTGGAGAAATATCTAATGCTCTGTCTGTCGATTCACTTAAATGATCCCAAAATGGATTACTAGAGTGTTTCTGGTCTGTAAATAGTACCTATAATAATAGATGAGTGTTGGAATTCTATCTGAGTCCAAAGAATCTCACACCCTCGAAATTCTAACTCGCCTAGACGCTTAATTTTAAGTTTGCCATTGACGTAGACAAGAATACCACATCCCGCAAAATTACGGTCTAAACACAGTGGTTTATGGAATCCTTCAAGACGCAAACTGTCAGATAAAGCATGGTCGTCTTAATGGGTTTCTGTAAGGCAACTAACATCATACACTCGGTCAAATCCATCAAATCCTGAATTTTATTCCGTACACTTCTGATATTTAAATGAAAAACAGTAAATTCTTTTGGACATTGATTTGACTCAACATCCATATGAGACAACAATTAGATTAGCTAAACCAAGGTAATTCAAGATTTTTAAAACTAGAGATCAGGACCACGACTAGAGAATGTATCATAGATAAAAACTTAAGTGAAAAAAGTGGAAAGTAAAAAAAAAATGAATGAAAAGTGCTATACATTATACACACAAATTTTGTATCTAGGCACGTACGTGTATTCATTTTAGCAGGTACAGGGTTCGATACAATCGTCTATTGAATCAACTCAGCTCGCCTACTCAAACCAGGATTTTTTTATATAAAATGCATCGAGTTATTATTTTGATCGGATTGCATTAAATGATTTGTTGATCTTAATAACATAAACATCAAGTAATGTGTATAGAAAAATATTTGTATTCGTCATGTTATTTTGACATTACATTTTCTGTAAGTGAAATAAGCACGGATTTCGTTGTTCTTTTAACAGCGTCAGTTGATTATCTTGAATGTTTTACCAAGCACGTCATTCAGCGTCTCGTGATTAATGACGTCATTTCCACACCTGGCAGTGATACCCAAGGTCGACATCGCATACCTATGAACAGGAACAGGTCTATCAAATAAAAGTATTAAAATGTGGAACACATTGATGGGAATATGTCTCCAAGTATTAAACACTGCTATATCCTTGCAAAAGAATCTACGAGGATGTCAATTTTTTAAGACGTACAGTAAACCCCAATTACTCAACTCGCATTTCTCGAATACCCAATGTTCCTCGAACATTTCGCTTGGTCCCGACCATGTTCGTATACATTCTTTATAAATGTACCTCAGATTACTCGAACTGCCATTACTCGAATACCCCGTATTCCTCGAACTCAGATTTGTCCCCTTCAGTCAAATGACAACATGAAAATCTAGTCGATACTGCAAATGTTTACCTCCTATAGAAAGTTTATGTGGTTGATACTGACATGACCTGAAGCCAACGTCCAGTGAGCATGGTCAGTCTCAGCTTATGGGAAAGCCGGTGATTATAAGACTCTTTCATGTCCAGGGGTGTAGGATAGGGAAATTCCACCCGAGGGGTTTTCAAATTTGGTAAAACCCGAGGCTTTGGCAAGGGTTTTGCCAAATTTAAAAATCCCGAGGGTGGAATTTCCCTGCCCTACACCCTTGGGCACGAAAGAGTATTTTTCTCTCATTCCAACTACCAGAATAAGCTCAGAAACCATGGAAATGCGTTTAGACAGCTGGCTACCACTTTGAAAATATCAATTTTTCCCCTGAGCTTTTTTGACGAAAACGAATTAATCAGGGAAAATTAACATACCCCATATTGCAAACAGAGTTGGCGCAGAAAAATAATCTTTCTAACGCGTACGATTAATATATCGTAAAAGGTTTTAATTTCAATCACGTTGCCTTTTCCGTATTGCGGTATTAGTGTTTTCCAAATTTGTGACGTCACGTCATTGTTGAGCCATTGTGACGTCACGCCCATGTAAGATAGACTCAGCAAGCATGTTTATCTTACGTGGCCAGCGTTATCTTACATGACCGGATACGAGAGAAATACCTATCGAGTCGTCGAACAGGAAGTTCACCTGTGTAACACACCTACAGCGTAGCTCTAGATGTGTTTTGGAAACGTAGTTACAAACTATTTGTGAAATGAAATACTTTCTTATCAGTTATTGCTAACGTGTATTCAAAGAGACAGCTAATGTTGCACAATGGTGTGTCGATGAAATTATACTTTATATTGCATATACAGTGTACATGTATTTTATAATGAATCCCTGTGGTAAGTTTATCTGTTGACAGTTGAGTACAATGCAAAATGAACGTGGTGTACAGAATGAGCTTTTTTCATCGGTAAATACGTAAACTAGACATGAAATTTATTAAAACTAAGACATCATTTACCCGTATAATGACTTACATAATGAGCAATATAAAACCGTGACATGTATTCTGAGTGACCAATACGTACCTGGACTGGACAGTATGTGTGACCAATACGTACCTGGACTGAACAGTGTAACTACGAGACCTGACCAATATAAACCCGTGACATGTATTCTGAGTGACCAATACGTACCTGGACTGGACAGTATAACTATGAGACCTGACCAATATAAAACCGTGACATGTATTCTGAGTGACCAATACGTACCTGGACTGGACAGTATGTGTGACCAATACGTACCTGAACTGGACAGTATAACTACGAGACCTGACCAATATAAAACTGTGACATGTATTCTGAGTGACCAATACGTACCTGGACTGAACAGTATAACTACGAGACCTGAACAATATAAAACCGTGACATGTATTCTGAGTGACCAATACTTACCTGGACTGGACAGTATGTGTGACCAATACGTACCTAGACTGGACAGTATAACTACGAGACCTGAACAATATAAAACCGTGACATGTATTCTGAGTGACCGACACGTACCTTGACTGGACAGCATAACTATACGAGACCTGACCAATATAAAACCGTGACATGTTTTCTGAGTGACCGTACGTACCTGGACTGGACAGTATAACTATGAGACCTGACCAATATAAAACTGTGACATGTATTCTGAGTGACCAATACGTACCTAGACTGGACAGTATAACTACGAGACCTGAACAATATAAAACCGTGACATGTATTCTGAGTGACCGACACGTACCTTGACTGGACAGCATAACTATACGAGACCTGACCAATATAAAACCGTGACATGAATTCTGAGTGACCAATACGTACCTGGACTGGACAGTGTAACTACGAGACCTGACCAATATAAAACCGTGACATGTTTTCTGAGTGACCAATACGTACCTAGACTGGACAGTATGTGTGACCAATACGTACCTGAACTGGGCAGTATAACTACGAGACCTGACCAATATAAAACCGTGACATGAATTCTGAGTGACCAATACGTACCTGGACTGGACAGTGTAACTACGAGACCTGACCAATATAAAACTGTGACATGTATTCTGAGTGACCAATACGTTCCTGGACTGGACAGTATGTGTGACCAATACGTACCTAGACTGGACAGTATAACTACGAGACCTGAACAATATAAAACCGTGACATGTTTTCTGAGTGACCAATACGTACCTAGACTGGACAGTATAACTACGAGACCTGAACAATATAAAACCGTGACATGTTTTCTGAGTGACCAATACGTACCTAGACTGGACAGTATAACTACGAGACCTGAACAATATAAAACCGTGACATGTATTCTGAGTGACCAATACGTACCTAGACTGGAGAGTATGTGTGACCAATACGTACCTGGACTGGACAGTATAACTATACGAGCCCTGACCAATATAAAACTGTGACATGTATTCTGAGTGACCAATACGTTCCTGGACTGGACAGTATGTGTGACCAATACGTACCTAGACTGGACAGTATAACTACGAGACCTGAACAATATAAAACCGTGACATGTTTTCTGAGTGACCGTACGTACCTGGACTGGACAGTATAACTATATGAGACCTGACCAATATAAAACCGTGACATGTATTCTGAGTGACCGATACGTACCTGAACTGGACAGTATAACTACTGATATCCACAGAGCAATGTTTGGATCCACATCCGTTTCCACAGATCAAGGACGTGAGAAGGTCACGGAGGTCAGTGACGTCAGGTTTCTGTATGACGTGGTCTACTTCCAACATCACAGTCCCAGAATCCCTCTCTGTCAATGAAGACGTATTCCTATTAACCTGAGTGTCTATAAAAAGACTCGCATTTGACATGGTGTTGACTTTCAACAATACCTAAATTGTAAGATTATCAAGTCGTTATGACCTCATTACACTACAATATCAGTCCATAAACGTTTGTCAAAGTTAATTGCAATGACAAACATGTTGTGAAATTGTTTTTGAAATATTTGTAGTTTACAATTCTATAATTCTGTAATTAACACAGCTGAAGGTCAGTCTTGTCGGCTATATTAATTAAATTCCCTCTGTGTCGGCCTTATCCTACTCTTACTATTTGTAGCGTTTTATTCCTCTACAGATTTGCCATTTACGAATATTAAGACACATCCTGTTCTCGTTAAGAGCTTCGTTGAGTTTGCCGTCGAGAATGAGATCCCTTACAAGTCCCCGCTAGTACGGGGGGCTGAACCAATGTCGTCTGTGTGGGAGACCAGTACCAAGCTACCCACAATTCTTAAACTACTTCCGCTAATATTTCTTCCGTTTTTCTTTAAGCAAATCCAATAGCCCTAGATCAGTATCACATCGAAAGCTTCTTTTAAAAGGGAACCCAGAAGAAAGTTCAGTCCGGAACAATATGTAATAATCAGTATGTAAATTGACACTGTGAAATGAAATGAAACATTGAAAGAGAAAATAATAATCATACACAAATCCAACGCTTAACTGTTCAAACACGCGTCGTTGGCGTTATGACTGGTAAAAGATTATGATAATGTGCATCGTCAGTGAACAAGATTTCCAAAAGTAGCAAATTATGATCATTTTTTTTTTATATTCATCAGTGAAACATCACTACCAAAACGATATATATCATCAAGCCATGCCGAATAAACTTATTTAAAGTATATATATAGATAGATTTTGCCACAGCATTATCGATGGTAAATTTCAGAATAACACTGGATCGGCATCATTAGGAATACAGTAACAGAACACTAAAAGATGTCGATAGTGCGGACAAAATATCGTCGAAGTTTCGGAGGGTAATTCGTTGGACTGATTATTGCACCACTGACCACCTATTCGTAATCATATTAATCTCAATCTCAACTTTAAAACAATTCATTAATACTTCCTCAACCTTTACTTGTATCCAAGAACGAGCTTTGTTTTTTGGACGACTCGTCCATTTTTTTCGTAGGCATTTCCGGGATTCATCCGTGGTGAAAATACTTACGTTACTTTGCGAAAAACGCTTTCTTCATATTTTGATATATATATATATTTTGTAATGTATAGCTAGCCTTTGTCTTGTTCTTGTATTGTCTTGGAAAAAGAGCGCGCTGCTCCGAAAATTCGACTTTATATTGTTCACCCTTTCGACGTCATTTAGTGTTCTATACTATAGATATATATCAGTGTGAATATACAAACCCGAACTCGAACGTTTAACAGTATGTTTCACGCATGCAAATCCTCCAGCTGTATTTACGCATACATGGTCAGCAGCACAGGGTTTGGAAACACATTCATCTATGTCAGTGGCACACGTGGACCCCGTCCATCCGTTAGCACAGTGGCACTCGAAGCTGGGAGGAGTGTAGCGCGAATGAAACTCACATGACCCACCATTTTCACACGGCATGGCGTCACATAGGTCTTTACCATGGTAATGGTGACACGTGTATCCATCAAAAGTGTTGACGCATTCAAGATGGCTGCTGCACGGATTGCCGATACAGAAATCCTCCTGGGAACAGTAGGGGCCTGTCCATCCATATCCACAGGTGCATGTCGGGACATTATTCAACATTGAGCACGTGCCATTGATACCACACATTGTGTTGTTACAGGAATCGCATTCGTAACGTCCGGGTGTATTGACGCATGTCGTTCCGTTTGTGCAAGGTGATGATTGCGCACACTCGTCGATATCGTAGTGACAGGCCACGCCTTCCCAGCCTGCGTCACACAGACAGTTCGGGGTGTTGTCTGTAACCACACACTGGCCGTGATCGCACGGACTGTATGCACAGAAATTGTATACGTCACAACGTTTTCCGGTAAACTGACCGTAACAAACACAGCTGTAATCATTGACCGAGTCAACGCACGTACCATTATTCATGCAGGGAGAGCTGGAACAATCATCAATGTTGATTTCGCATTGTGTACCAACGAATCCCACAACGCACGCGCATTGATAGCTTCCAGGGTTATTGGTACAATTTGCTCCGTTTTCGCATGGGGAAAAGTCACATTCGTCGACATCCTTATCACAATTCGTACCGCTCCATCCCTGTTTACACCGACAGTTATACTTCGCCACTTCGTCGGAGCAGTTGCCATGGACACATGGATTGCTCGCGCATTCATTTATGTCAGTCTCACATAGCTGACCCGTGAAACCAAGGGAGCACTTACACACAAAATCGTTCACAAGGTCCGAACAGACGCCGTAGTTTAAACAGGTAACGTTAGCACACTCATCAATATCGTACTCACAAAGCCCGCCGCCATAACCATCCGGGCACTTACAGTGAAAATTCCCCTCAAAATTGATGCACGTGCCGTTATTTTGACAAACCGTGTGCTCACATTCGTCAATGTCTGTTTCACACTGTGTTCCTATCCAACCCTTTTCACATATGCACTGGTAGCTTCCTTGACTGTTATTACAAGTCCCATGCATACAAGGGTTCGCCACGCATTCATCTATATCCGCTTCACAGTGGTGCCCCTTCCAACCAGTCTGACATGCGCAAATGAACGATCCTGGTCGATTTATGCACGTGGCGTTGTTCTGGCATGTACTGGGGTCGGCACACTCGTCCTCGTCTATTTCACACCTAGCTCCCATCCATCCGTACGGACACTGGCATATTATCCCGGTCGCCGACAGAACTTTGAACCCGTTATTTTCACAACTGGTAATGGTGGTACAGTTTGCTCCAATGTAACCTTTAACAACAACAAAACTATTATCGCAATTTAAGTCTTTATGTGATTGGCTTTAAATGACGTAAGTAATGCACTATGATCTCAATGCTTGTATTGTAGTCAAGAATAACGTTTACTGGCAACTTACTTAGGGGGTTGGGTGGAAGTCGTCAATAAGCAAGAAATAATTATCAAGAGAAAGATAGACCGTTTTCTGAACATTAAAGATGTAGGATTGAAAATATGATTGAAGATAAGCTTTTAAAAATTGTTCAGACTAAATCGTGACATAATAAAACAGAATAAGAAATATTAAGACATTGCAAAGCGGGTCAGACCGGAATTTGCACCTCAAACATCAGAAATCTGAACGAACGCTCGACTAACTTACTCTCCAGTGATTCAATCCGTACAGGTCCGTGTAAAAAGTACAACCGTCATCATTATCTTTTTATTTACCTGTAGAACAGAGACTTGTGTCGCAGGCTTTACCCGACCATCCAGCTTCACACGAGCATGAGAATGTTCCCGCCAAATTGTGGCACGTGCCACGATCGGAACAAGCTCCTGGAAATAGACATTCGTTTACGTCGACGTCACAAACGTCACCAGTCCATCCACCAAGACAATTGCAACGGTAACCATGAACATGCGTGTTGTCGTTTGTACAATTTCCATTATTGCAGGAGTGGTAAGCGCAAGAGTCTATCTGGTCACAAAACTGACCGGTCCATGCTTGTGGACACGCGCACCGGAATCCGTACACCGGAACGCTGGGATCGTTCAAACAGTGACCGCCATTTTGACACTGATTGTTTGAACATACATCAGGTATTGTGCAATGTGGACCACTCCAACCTGGAAACAAATAGACAGGTCAATAAAGTAATATCTACATCGCAGATTTCCTTTAAAATAGGACAACATTTTTTGTGTATTTTAGATGTCCATTCATGTCCATCCCTACAGGTCGGGGACCTGAATATACCTGCTGTTACCCACTGCCTTTATCATAAGAGGCAAATAATGTGGGAAACCTCTGCAGAATTAGGGATTTGCTTTTGTGTCCTCTATTTAGCTACACCTGCGTTTTATGGCAAATATATCTCCCAGCGGTTAGTTTACAATGATGATTCATAATTTCATATTTCGTTGGTGCTGTTATTACATTTCTGATGTTGTACCTTTCAAAAGTGTCACATGTTATAACTTACAACGTATCGAGATGGAATTTCGAGACGTATTCGACCATGGTAGGATTATCCCATATATCTGTGGCAGATTATAATTGTACATAGGATTAAGGTAGCCTTCTAGATTCGAGCTAGGGGAAAGTTCCCTTTAGCTCAGTGGTAGAGCGTCCGACTAGGAACCTGGAGATCGAGGGTTCGATCCCCGATGGAAGCACACTATTCTCTTTCCTGTTACAAATGGTGTCCGTGGCCCTCCCTGTGGTGACAGGGAGTGCGAACCAGGGTTGTGATGTTCGAGGGCGAACACATTCTAGCTTCATTTCTAACAAAAAGCATAGTTATTCACATAAAAACACAGAAAATAATGGGAAACTATCTTTCGGTACCTCTCTGACATATTGGACCGACTCCTTGGATACAGGTTCCTCGTAAGGCACCGTTGGCTGGCAGTATGGAACACTGTTGGGAGCAGTCCGTGCCGTAGTAGGGATCCATACAAACCACGTGACCCTGGGCGTTGCACGTTTGGTGAAGTGAATGGTCAGCTTGGCACTGGAATATCTTGTAGTCTGTTGATATGCTGCGAATTCAAATTTTAATTTCAAGAAATAGAGAGAGACTGTTTTATTTCCTATTAGGGCGTTATCTGTCGTTTTCGGCAAGTGTCAAAAAAACGTCAAAAAACAGCAACACCATAATCAATGTGCATGTTTTTTTTACGAAAAAACACGAGAAAGTTGGATGAATATACTTCTCACATACAAGTGTAACCTACGTGTTTGGATTTCAAAGAATACCACCAGAAAACATAGTACCATGCAGAATACTGAAATCCTTTCAGTTTTGCAACAATATAATGAATAACAAATATGAGAAAACGAATAATACCCTTAAAAGTTACAGCATAATTGATATAAAGTAGTCTCCCTTCAATTTACCGTAAACCTCTATTTAGCATCACAAGAGGACAATCAAACCTTTATTGTTCATCCGTCTTACATTATCTGAATGATTATGAAGATAATATCATTTAGCAACGGCAAATGACTGGGACATTTTTACGACAATATGATAAAGCTGATCTGGTGGAATAGATAATACTAAATTTGTCTCAGCGAGTCATCCCTTTTTTGTACAACACTGCATTTCCTTCACCAAGGGACGATCCTCTCGATTGAGTCAAAATCCGTTTAGCTGTTCTAGACTAGTAATCTTTGAAAGTGAAACGTTACAATGTAAGACGGACGCCGCGGCAGCTTAGCTAGGCTACCAAAACTTTCAACAGAGGTTTTAAATGGTTAATGTTTGATAGCTTTCAAACGTTAAGCAATTTTAAAGCTTTTCCCGTAACTTATATATAAAACCATAGAAGAAGGAGAGAAAAACATATAGTTAATGCATACCTTGTTCTGCTTTTTCAAACAAAAATTGTGAAATTATGACAGAAGTTCAACCTAAACATTCCAGTCGAAAAAAAACAAGCTTACATTAACTTATCTTGACTGCTTGTATACCCTAATATGTTAATTTGCCTTTTTTACGGAAACAACAATCCATTAAAGGGAAAAGATTTGCCGTTATGCCTCATGGTGTCCAATTTGTTTCTGAACAGAGATACTACACTTCGTGTAAACTAGTACACAATGGACTCACGTAGCTCCCGTACGGTAATACATCATAGCAGCATGATGATTTGCTGCGTGTAATTCATCAGGAGCAATATCCTTGGAGTTAGGTTGAACCACTATCTGGCTGATGATGTTGTGATAGTTACGGTCTTGGTAGGCAGTGACACGATACCTGGAACGAGGCTGTTCAAAAATCGAGACTGTTATTCAGAGGGCTAAATGATAATGAGGCTGTTACATTGACCAGGTACAGGAACGAGGCTGATCAAGACAAATACCAATTTACAAGGATAAGTACGGTGGTATATTTCTACCATTGACTTTTGACTTACAAGTTACCTTTGTCGACATAATTTGTAAAAGCTGTCGACATAATCTGAGAAGATGTCGATAAAATCGATGAATATGTCGCAATAACGTTTAAACTATGTTGTCATATTTTAATATGAAAGAAATGGGCCGTTTAAAGTATAAGGAGGGAAAACGTTCCCCTTTATTTTTCAGTTAGAATCTTAAGATGTCGTCTGTTATTTACAATGGCGTAGACTCCGTGAACTTACAGTCCATGTTGGAATGTGGATGACGACAGGGTTAGACAAGTTTCCGATGGGTGAACCAAATTGGGTTTGACCAAATCCCCCGGGAATGACATTACTTGTAAATCTCTTCACACAATTACTGGAAGTGGTATCTCTGAAATAATAAAACAAAACTGTAGATATAGGAAATAGGCTACGTACAATGGCAGAAGTATATCAAGACACACCGGAAGGGGGGGGGGG